TATTCGAGATAGGAGTTAGATTCCTACAGGAAATGCAACTTGGCCTCTTCCTGTTTTCAACATTCCGTCATAACAAGTGTGATTCAAACCGCGACTGAGTGTCGGTCCGTGACTGGGTTCCTCCAACAAAACTCCACAGTCGACTCAGGTATGTTCTGTTTTGACACTGTAATGAAACATTGAAGACAGAGGCATTCGCGAGGACAGCTACGTGTTCTCTTCCTGGTTGAAAACAGCTGTTGTCACTACGACAACCACAGACGCATTCGGCTGAAGTTCGCCAGTTAACAGGGTCGCGAGTAAATCCGAAACACCGGACGCCATCTTTGTTCAAACACTGTGAAGTTAGCCACAGTGAAGAATACAGCTTCCAGGTCTGATGAGTTGCTGAACTTCAAAATAAAAGTCTTTAAATGTGTCCGAAATTAGGCTTACTCAAAAAAACATAGAGGAAAGTATAACAAAGAATGACATCTATTGAGCTCAGGACTCAGGAAGAGGAGTGTTGATTGTGAAGTTGTACTGTAGTAGTTATGATCATCCAGATCATCTAAATCACTACCTCTTTTATTGGATATTTTTCCTCCCACTATTGAAGGCTCTTCTGTAGTCACACAGTTTATTTTTTTTAAAAAAAGTATAAAGCTTTAGGAAAGCTATGGAACCTTCTTCCCCCAGATCCTCTGACTGAATATGATTGTTTTTCTTTCTCTGTATGTTTTTACCCCTGTAATGATAACAAAAAAACAGGTACTATTAAAAATAATATTTTTTATTGAATGTTAGATATATAACCCGTTCAAATATCTTCCATGCGTCGGTTGGATGCATTTTTTTTTTTCAAATATATGCACTTCCATCTGTGTATGTATGGGCTGTTTAGTGCTTAGAGGGGTTTTTGATTTTTGTAAAATTCTGTCAATCATTTAAACTAGATTAAATGGTGCTATATCATTATTATTATCATTATTATTGAAAAGAACATGGAGAACATCTAATGGCAGAAAGAGATACACTGAATTAACTTGACAAAGAAAAGGAAAAACTTAAGAAGAAGCTTAAAGGGATAGTGCACCCAAAAATGAAAATTCAGCCATTATCTACTCACCCATATGCCGATGGAGGCTCAGGTGAAGTTTTAGAGTCCTCACAACACTTGCGGAGATCCAAGAGGAGAGTGGGTAGCAACACAACTCCACCTAATGGAGGCTGACGGTGCCCCAGATTCAAACGTCCAAGAACACATACAATCGCAATAGAAAATTATTCAACCCCCATTGCATATTAGGCTTATTGGCAAAATGTACAATTTTTTCAGCTGTTTGCAATAAACAAAGTAGACAAGAACAGTTGAAATAGTTTAATAAAACTATTATTACCATGGTTTTTATCCAAATTCAACACAAAATGCTACTTTTAATCACTACTGCAGTCTCAAAATTATTCAACCCCCTGTTTCAAGCACACCTGATGCAACTAATCAAGGGCTTCATTAGTTCAGGTGTGCTTGAGACAGAACACATAAATACCTGGACTGGCTAGGGTTTTGTTGAGAGTGACGTTTGATCGCATGTTAGAAATATGGCTAAGTCAAAAGAATTGTCCAAAAAGTTCAGAGAAGAAATCATTGCCTTGCACAATCAAGGAAAAGGATACAAAACGATAGCAAAAGCTCTGAATGTACCAAGAGATACAGCTGGAAGCATAGTTCGCATGTTCAAAGTTAAAGGAACAGTGGCTACACTACCTGGACGTGGCAGAAAGAGGAAACTATCAGCGGCTGCCACCAGATTCCTGAGAAGGCAAGTGGTCAAAAACCCTTGAGTGACTGCAAAACACCTGCAGCAAGACTTGGTGGCAGCAGGCACTGAGTTTTCAGTTTGCACAATAAGGCGCATACTAAACACTGAAGGGCTTCATGCCCAGACTCCAAGACGTACACTACTGACCCAAAAGCACAAGAAAAGTCAGCTCCAATATGCTCAAAACCATATAAATAAGCCACAGAAGTTTTGGAATTCTGTTCTGTGGAGTGATGAAACAAAACTGGAACTTTTCGGGCCTATGGAACAGCGGTATGTCTGGAGGATGAAGAATGAAGCATATGCTGAAAAGAACACCCTGCCTACAGTGAAGCATGGCGGTGGCTCAGTGATGCTCTGGGGCTGCTTTGCTGCCTTTGGCACTGGAAACCTGCAGCGTGTGGAGGGCACGATGGATTCAGTCAAGTATCAGGAAATCTTAGGTGAAAACGTCGTGCTGTCTGTGAGGAAGCTGAAGCTTCTAGAGTGGCCGTCACAGTCGCCTGACTTGAACCCCAAAGAAAATCTCTGGTGGGATTTGAAGAAGGCGGTTGCAAAATGCACACCCAAGAATATTACTGAACTGCATAGCCAGACACCAGCATCAGACAGCGTTCCTGAGGAATCTCAGCCCATTCCTCAGGAACGCTCTCTGATGCTGGTGTCTGGCTATGCATCACGTTTGCAGCAGGTCATAACAGCAAAATGGTGCTCTACTAAGTACTGAAGATGCTTGTCATGAAGGGGTTGAATAATTTTGAGACTGCAGTAGTGATTAAAAGTAGCATTTTGTGTTGAATTTGGATCAAAACCCTTGTAATATTAGTTTCATTGAACTACTTAAACAGTTCTTGTGTAATTTGTTTATTGCAAACAGCTGAGAAATTGTATATTTTGCCAATAAGCCTAATATGCAATGGGGGTTGAATAAATTTGATTGCAATTGTAATTGAAACCACAAAATATCTCCATACTGCTCGTCCGTAGTGATCCAAGTGTCCTGAAGCCCCGACATAAAAAGTTGTTTAGAAAAACGTAATTTGAACTCTCATTGTAGCCTGTAGCTCTGACTGCTTCTGTGTACACCGAGCTCACGAGACCAGCGAAAGCACGTGATGTGACGAGCAGTGTGGAGATATTTTGTGGTTTCAATTATGTGTTTTTGGACATTTTAATCTGGGGCGCCGTCAGCCTCCATTAGGTGGAGCTGTGTTACTACCTCCTCTCCCCTTGGATCTCTGCAAGTGATGTGAGGACTCTAAAACTTCACCTGAGCCTCCCTCGGCATATGGGTGAGTAGATAATGGCTGAATTTACATTTTTGGGTGCATTATCCCTTTAAGATAAAAGACAGAGAATGGAAAATATCTGAAAAACATTTTTTCTAGACTTGAGGGGCAGATAAAGGATAAAGAGAATCAGATAAAGCAACTCAAACTGGAGCTGGAGGAGGTGAAGAGACAGAGGGAGGACACTGAGAGGAAGCTCCAGTCAGTGAACAGGAAGAAGACAAGATGGACCCCGACACACAGAAAGCAGCAGCAGAGAAAGATGAAGCCATCAAACTTCTTTTCAATGCCATGAATGATCTTGAGAAGAAGAGGGCAGAATGTCAGAAAAAGCTGGAGAGGAGTGAGACCTTACTGGAGAGCATGAAGAAGGAAGAGATTATTTTTGAAGAAAAGAAAACCAAAGTAGGGCTACAGCCGACCTCCATGGCTAAGGAGTGCTCACCTTTGGTGGGGTGTATTTCCTGGAGCTTCACGCTGTTGTGTTGTTGGTCGTAGTAGGTGTTTCAGACCGGAGGTTTGGGGATGTGTTTTCTTGCAGTGGAAAGTGTTTCAGTACAACTACCTGCAGAAACAGTGCTCTTATTGTCATCTTTTTTAAGATTTCAAGGTTGCCATCACCAAGTTTGTAAACCTGGTCTCGTCCTGTAGTGTCAGAGGCAAGACAATTTACCACAGACATAGGTATATGGTGAAATAAAATAAATATATGCACCTTTATTAAAGATACAAATTCATTACAACTATTAACTGACACCCCAAAACAGAAAATCCCCACAGAGGACAACTCTTAATGGGTACAGGAATCCATCCCAAGACTAAGCACCACACATCACAGCAAATGGGTATGGTCAATCACACCATAGAAGCTCATGTGATTTTTTTAATCCACTACCAATGAAGTGTGATCGAGTCCAACACTTCACAGGAAAGGAAAAAATAAGCAAGAATCACTCTTATGTTGTTCTTATTGTCTGCCGTTAGTGTTCTGGTAAGTGATGTTGTGTCAGTGCATGCTGATCATGGATTGTGCCTCTTGATTAGAACAATTAAAGTGTCTCAGAGGTCAAACAGGCTGCTGAGTCTCCTGGCTCCTCTTGATCAGTGGTCCAGTCTCAGGCTTTGTAAGTCCACACAGGGCTTGGTGTGTATTTACGCCTAACAGGGTAAGGTCTGTATACTGCGACAGAGAAGAGCATCGAGGAGTCCTTCCTCAGTGGCTCCCCTGAAAAAAAGCAAATCATCAGTGTCAAGAGATTCAGAATGTCTCATGTCTGAGTATGAGCTCATGTATTTCACTTGCTGAATCTAAAGTTAATTATTGATCCTTGGAAAAGTTTTCTGTTGAGTCAAAGTCTCACCAGCTTTTTCTGGAACTTTCAGGCACATCTCACAGTCCGTCACAGCAGATGGACTTTTCTACGTTATGTGATGTTATTATTAGAAGCCAACAGATATTGACACTGTCTGTTTTCAGTGAGTCTTCCATTAAACTTCAAGAGACTTATGCTCATTTCTTTCTACACCACATCCTGTTTGCTTCAGCAACCACAGACAAGAAGAGTGTCTTCACGAGGACCACAGTTTGATTCGAAATGTGTCACAAGTAACTGAATTACGCAGCTAGTTTTAGCTGCTCTGTTGACACTGTGTTTCCACTTTGATGCTGAATAATAAATTATGATCACAACGCAGCTTAGCTAGTTAGCCAGCGGGGAGGTACTGAGACAAAGACATGATAAAACCAGTTGTTTTCTAGTGAGACACTGATGTGTCTCCAGCGGTGATTGTGGCTCCAGAACCAGGACATGATCATGTCCTTACCAATGTATCCACTACATATTAACGTATAAATATAATGTATCTGTGGTTTGCAGAAACGTACAATGTCAACATTTATTCTGGCATTTAGTTTAGTTAGTTTCTGTGTTTGTGTTGTGTGTTTTTTGCACGTGTGTGTTTACCTTTGTGCTTGCACCTCTGCATGCTGGTGACATCAACTTACAATACAACTGAAGTATCAGTTTTACCTGCAGCACAACATGCAATACCGTTACCAGCTGGGTTTAAAAAATTGAACTGAGATACTTTTAGGAAAATTGAATTCTTTCTCATTTTTTATGGTTATCACAACAACCTCAATGCCGTGACCAAACCTGCGATTTAAAGGTCCAGTGTGTAGGATTTAAGTGGTGTTTTGACAGAAGTGGAAAATAATATAACTATTGTTGTTTTCATGAGTGTACAGTCACCTGAAGTTAAGAATGTTTTTGTTACCTCAGAATGAGCCGTTAATGTCTATGTACAGAAGAGTCCACAATATTGTTTCTACAGTAGCCCAAAAGGGACAAAGCAATCATTGGCTCTAGTTCGGGCCATTTGCCTTTTCATGTTGGCCACCAATGCCAAAAGCCACCTTTCATGGCGGTATGACACTAGGCTGACCAAACGTCCTCTTTTGCCCGGACATGTCCACTTTTCACGTCCCGTCCGGGGCGTCCGGGGGTTTTTATAAACTGATGATAATGTCCGGTTTTCCGTGTGTTTGTGTGTGTGTGTGTGTGTGTTAGAGTGCGGCACGGGCCGCATATTTCTGTCCAAACCCGAACCGAGCCCGACATTATTTAATGACCAAAGGACTGAGTTTGTGTCACACAGTGGTTACAGGCTATTTAACAGGCCGGGCGTGCGCCGTGGGTGCTCAGCTGCGGAGAGGGAGACCTCCGTGTTTGAGACGGGAGCGGGAGGCGGGAGGTCCGACGCTTCCAGCGAGAGGAGAGGGAGAAATAAAACAAAATAAGATAAAATAGGAGACACCTGTCTCCCTCTTTTATTTTATTTTCAGCGTTTAATCAAGGCGGAGGCGGGCGGCTGGAGGTCCGAGACTTCCAGCGAGGGGAGAGGTAGAAACAAACAGCCAGTGTGTGTCTGTGTGTGTTATGTTCAGGTGTTGTCACGTAAATAACAGCGCCCAAGCAATAAACAGGACAGACAATAGGATTTTATTTATTTTTACACTACATTTTCACTGAAAGCTGACCGAATCTGACCCGAGCCCGAATACCCGACCAAACTCGTCGGGTACCGTCGGGCTCGGATCGCGACACTCTAGTGTGTGTATGTGTCCCCTATTGGGGCCTATCTGAGTTTCTGTCTTTGAGAGATATTATTTTGTAATATAACTGAATTTTCTATCCATACATATAAATTTTAAATATATTAAAATCATAAAGCATCTTTGAGTAAACTGTGAGTATCATTTAAGTAGGCTATGTCGTGGCCGGCCGAGTGTCCTCTTTTTTGGAAATCAAAATATGGTCACCCTATATGACACACTCAGTGTGTAACACGGTTGGACAAAACCTTTTGCGATGTTATGATTCAATGCTGGTCGGCTGGACGGCACCTGTCTTGGTGGATATGCCGGTGGACAGCAGAAATGCTACCAATAATGACAAAAAGAATTTTTTATTTTATATACTTTTCACTCCGTTGTCAATCAATTACACAAAGGTCTGAACACACGCACTAAGTACGATGCCTTGCTCAAGGGCACCTCGGCGGTGCCCAGGAGGTGAACTGGCACCTCTCCAGCTACCAGTCCACACTCCATATTTGGTCTGGATGGGACCTTCGGTTCCTAACCCAAGTCCCTATGGACTGAGCCGCCCGAGCAGGAAAGTCCATGTAGAGTGGGTGGGATGGGTCAAACAAACCCCAGACTTTTACCTGGGAGGCCGGTGTTCACTTCCTGTATGGATGTAGAATCAAACCATGGTGTTTTTTTTCCTAAAACCTAGCCATGTTTTTGTTGATGTCATGGTGTTGGTTTGGTCATTGTGGAACATAAACAGCAGACGCAGAAGGGTACCTACTGCAAAGCGGCTACATGTGACGACTTTGGAATGAGACCAGGTTGGTCACCACCACGGAAACAGGGCCAGTGTAAAGTTAGGATTCAGTGTCATGGTGTACACACAAATGACCACGAAATCAGCAATGGTTGATATTACGACCCTACTAGTAGAATAAAGAGCAAGAAAATCAGCATAGGGAGGAGGTCAGGGAGCAGAATGGATCAACAAGCACCAGACTTTGGTCCAGGATGCCACTGTTTCTGTCCTGTGTGAAGCAAAAAGTCAATGTGGCCCTCTATTAACTTAACGTAGTTACATCCTCTATGAAGTAACATGTTATGTGACATATGTCACTTTAGTGTGACATATGCTTAGGCATAGTTATTTTAACCAAAGACATGATCTTTTTCAAACCTAACCAAGTAGTTTTTATGCCTCAATTTATTCCTGTGACATAATGTGAAGACATCACATGTGGTCGAAACCTCCTGCACAAAGAACACTGTTTCACCTGGGAGTTAAAAGTTTCAGCTGTTTGAAATCCACAAAATCCCTAAATTATACACACTGTTAAAGAACCACAGTCTGCTTGAACTCAGAGTTCATCTGGGACTGTTTTTTAATTGTTCTACTCCTTAAATTAAATCTCACAGTTTATTTACTTATTTATCTATTTACAGTTCTTTAAAGAAGAGTGTCATTTTATTGACATGAAAACAGGCTGACCTTTGCTGCTCCTCCAAAGGCAGAGCAGCGTCACACAGACCAGCAAGAGGCAGGCGCCCACCACAGGAAGTAAAATGTGTGTGAGGATGTGGATAGGCAGCTCAGGACGCCTTGCTTCTAAAGAGAAATACCACAGGTTGACCTTGATGCAGACATGCTAATAGTTCTGTCTGCACTGGAGGCACACACAGCTACAGATTACATTTATCAATCATCTCATCAAACTCATGCTAAGATAGCAAACCAGCACAGTTACCAAAGCAGGGGAGGATGATTTTTATTTGATTATAACAATGAATTCTTAAAGGTGAATGTTTTTGTCCATCTTGGAAAAACAACACATAATGAAATTGTTAAAAAACTTTTAGGTGTCCCTCACCTCTGACAGACAGCCAGTTGTCTGGTGATTCTCCAGCTCCAGAGACGCTGCACTTATAGAATCCTTCATCAGATACAGAAACACTGTGCATGGTCATGTTTCCTGTAGAGCTGCTCGCGATGAGAAGCCCATCTTTATAGAAGTCAGCTGTGAGACTAGAGTAGGAAGTTGTCTTGGTTCTGCAGCTCAGAGTCACAGTGTCTCCCTCCATCACAGGAAGGGCTGGACTGTCCAGGATCACTGAACCAGCTGAGTGGCAGAAAGACAAGAGGATAGTTTAGTATGTCAACACATGATCGTTTGAAGATCTCCAGCAACTCTTTTTTAGGAAAAAGAACAACTTAATTGTGAGACCAACGTGTTTTGGCTTGTGGTCGCAGAGATCTTTATGAGGGCTGGAAACCGAAAAGCACTGGTCGCACGAGTTTTACTGACTTACAGACTTGTCCCTTCTCTGTGCACATTGAAGTTACATGTTGCATGAAAGGGAAAAGTCGCCTCTCTGCTTGTTCAGATGATCATTTATAGAAAATGTTTTGTGACAGATTGATGCTGTCGAACACAGTGCGACCAAACAAACAAGAAAAAGTCAGTGGTAGTACAGTGGTGTTAAGACTTTTTGTGGCCTTAAAACAACATCCTGTTATGTCCACCTTTGCTTCTCAGCAATGGACAGACACTCTCTACTTCACCACAAGATGTTGGTTGGCGATTAAACATAAAACATAGGTTGTTAAAAGCATTTGAATAAAGCAGGAATGTGAATTTTAAGTCCAAGAAACTGTAAGCCTCCGCTAGCTGTGGTGACATCAACTTGTCTTTCTGTTAAACCCACCGGTCACAAAGATGTTGACGGTGTCGCTGCACTCTCCTGCTGAAGACTCACACCAGTACACTCCAGTGTCCAATGGGTAAAGGTCATCAATGAAGAGACAGGACTCATTTATACTATTCCAGGATGCTGAATGCTCTCGGTTTATGATTGTGGTTGTGTTCCTCTTAACTCTCCATTTAGAAGAGTTTCCCTGCTGCTCACAGCTCAGAGAGACGGACTCGTACTGGAAGAACTGGAATCTGTTGGGAAGGACTCTCAGAACAGCTGCAAGAAACAAACAAAAGCATCTCAAGAGAAAACTTTAAATTCGTAAACAAGCAGGAAAACTAGACTGATGTGTGGACACTCTGCAAGCTCACCACCTTCTTCACATTTTCTTGCTTGACCATGTTATTTTGAACTATAATGCCCAACTTCCACTGCTTGGTTTGACTCCAGTCAACTCACCTTTGGTACCATGCCTTTTTCTTTTATTTGTTTTCCTCTGCAGAGAGTACCCCCTTACTAGGCAGGATTATCAGACAGGAAAACACATAAAAGTGCCTTCCTTTCATTAGCAACTAAACAGGGGAAAGTCAACACTTCAGCTATTGTACAGCATAGTGTACAGTGTAGTTCTGCGGCTGACATTTATTCAAATCTGGGTCGAATTAATGAAAAATTGCAGCTGCTATTGATGGTAGCTTGGCTGTTTTAACACCACCTTTTGGTATTGGATCAGCTCATTAGGAACCTCGTTTGAGGAGGTACCAGGTACTTTCTGCAACTTTTGCTAACTGAAAAAAAAAACACTGAGTCAAGTTGAGTAGAGCTGTGTTGTACCCTGCAGCGGAAATGCAGCGTATAGAGCCGGTTCAAGCCACTCAAAGCTTCCTGCTTCTCTGCAACCTTCATGTGAAAACACAATGTTTAGAGAGCAAGAACATTCATTGTTGGGGCTGACTGGAAGCTGTGAAATATTTTTTTATTCAATTTAATACCTAACAAGTACTGGCAACCCGTCTACAGTAGTAAGAAGGTAAAAATTAAATCCACTTTTCCTGCCATGTGCCTCTTCAAACCTCTGCAGTTGCAGGATGCAACAGTTTAGAAAGTATATGCAATCAAAGAAAATCAAACAACCGTCTAAAAAAAACAAACTTGCTCAGTTTACAATGTGAAATGTAAGAAAAGCAGAATTCTTCCTAGAAAAAAATGACTTATATCATTCATACATTATCAAATAGTTGGTTTTTGTTTTTCTGTCAAACCAACTGATTAATCACTTGTTTCAGCTCTACGATACAGTATAACTGAGTAAAAACAAATTAGCAAGTATCGTTTTGTTGATACTAAAATAAAACTCGATGTGATATCATCACAGACCAGGCTTTATTCATAATTTATGTCAAGGACAGATTCGACACATTCTTGAGTAATGAGTTATGAGTGCAGGTTAAATACACACAAATATACAGTACTCACCAACGACAGCGCAAAGAATTGTGATCTCCATGCTGCTCGGCTGTTTGGTCAACTGACTGACTAAAAGGCAGCGTGAGGGACTGAACCACACATCTGACTTCAGAGGCCACAACTTCCTGTTGCAACGATAAACTCCAGGTGCAAATGTGTGAAGACATAAGCAGCATACTGCCTCAGATGTAGGCTTTTGCAACTCCAGCCCTCAGTATAAATGTTCCAGGACCATCTGTGCCAAGTATGGACTAGAAGTCTTTCAGCCCTAATGGGACACACCACCGAAAGTGGAAGAGAACAACGGGGCTAAGATCCAGACTGACAAGCAGCTGCTGGCTAACCAACCAGACACAGTAGTGGTTGACAAGGAGCAGAGGAAGGCAGTTGTGGCAGATGTGGCAGTACCAGCCGACAGTAACATCAATGGCTGAGAAGTACCAGGAGCTGAGGAAACAGTTGAAACAGATGTGGAAGGTAAGGTCAAAAGTGGCGCCAGTGGTAGTAGGGAACACTCGGGACTGTGGCCCCCAAACTGGGAGAGTGGCTCCGGCAGACTCCAGGTACAACATCTGAGGTCTCTGTCCAGAAGAGTGCAGTCCTAGGAACAGCTAAGATACTGCACAGAACCCTCAAACTCCCAGGCCTCTGGTAGAGGACCTGAGCTTGAGGAACACACACCACCCCCACCAGGTGTGTACTTATGTTATTGCTTTGTGTGTTTTTTTAACTGATGCTTACTGTTTGCACCATCCCCTTTGCTGCTGTAATTATTTAATTTCCCCGCTGAGGGATGAACAAAGGATTATCCTATCTTATGAGCATCTGAAGTCTGGCCAGTGCAGCTGTGCATCACATTAACAGATGAACAGGTGTGCTAAAAATAGAGTCACAGCCACACGATCTGTGCCACCCTAAGGTGCATCGCGAACACCACCTGAAAGGAATGACGGTCCAGATTTGCTCCACAGTAGAGGGCACATATTGAGGCCAATTTTAAATCTGCTTCAGCTAAAATAAAATCACTAGCAGGAAATGGTCATGGGTCAAGGGTCACAAATTTGTAAAATGATTGGTCATACATGCTGTGAAAAAGGTTTTGAGGGACATTTTGTGTCTGTTTTGCTTTTGCTTGAGTTTGATGCACAGCTCTGATTTCAGACAGCGCAGCCTGCCTAAACACGCAAACAGATCTAGAACAAACTCGTCATTCCACTTTGTCTATTTTTATGTCTCAATCACACCCTGCAGAACAACCTGCAGAACACTGGTTACATCATGCAGTGGGAGCATTTATGCTGACTCATTTCATTTGGCGTCAGTGCAGTATCGATTCTCTCGGAGCTACCACTTTGAAATGAACTTTAAAGAGCTGACTGACACTTTTTCACTTTGGGCTTTTACTTTAAATGTACGCGTGACTTTTATTGTCTTTTTAATTCTGGTCACCTACTTTCCTGTTGACGGTAAGCATGTAAAAAATTTTTTGGTAGTTTGGTAGTTAATGAAGGAATGTCACAAAGTAAAGTAACTCAGGTACTGTTGCTTATTGAAGTACTTTCATCCTACTACTCTGTCGACTACAGTTTTTATTCGTACTAGACTCTTTGACAGTTATAGTTAATTGTTGCTCTGCAGTTGTGCACAGTATCTAACCTGCATGTTTTTGGACTGTGAGAAAAAGCCCTGCGGATGTGGGGAGAAGATTTTCCATCTTTCACACAGAGAGGTCGGCTCGTGCCTTTTTGTGTGTATAAATGACAACAGTCTCTGTGAGGTATTAGTTCAGTATGAGCTTTATTTATTTATTTTCAACCAGGACCTGTACACATGCAGTATGTGTGGAGATATGTCGGAGTGAGGGGGGCTACCTTGAGTAGTTGGGGGTTTGGTGCCTTGCTCAAGGGCACCTCGGCAGTGCCCAGGTGGAGAATGAGCACCTCTCCAGCTTCCACACTCCATACCTGGTCCTTGCAGGAACTTGAACTGGTATCCCTCCATTTCCTCAGCCAAGACCCAACAGACTGAGCAACCCGTTCTCATAGGTCATCAAATACTGACACCCCTCGGTGTCTGATAGCGATGCACAGGGAACCCTTTGGCGTCACACAGTTGAAACACATTTCAACACGTGGGTGATGTGAAATGGTTACAGTTAGGTTTTGGTGACAAAACAATTCAGTTAGGTTTGGAAAAAAAGATCATGTTTTGGGCAAAAATAAGAACGTTTGTTAAGAAATGGAATGTGACGTGATGTAAATCCCTCCCATGAGTGATGTCAGTGTGCAACAACTGTGTGTAACTTACATAACATTACATTTAAACAACACTGAATTCTGGTCTCACACGGAACATATGAACATAAGTTACGTAACTTTACGTTAAAACAACATTTACAGGGTCACAGACAGCTCACTTGGTAGAGTGTGCACCCCCTGTGGTCCTTAGCTGCGTGTCATCCCCTCTCACTCTCCCCTAATGCAAATCTGTGTCTGTGCCTGTGCTTTATTGAGTTGTGATGCATCCATGGGTGCAGTTTGTGAATTAAATCAATGATGCCAGGTAACATGCTGTTGTCTTATTCTTGAGAGACACATTGAAGCTGATCTGTGACTCTGTTCAGATGATTTAAATTTCCCTCCGTCTTCCAGGTCAGCCGCAGGTGATCGGTTCACCTCAGCCAGTCTTGGGTGCTCTGGGTGATGATGTAATTCTGCCGTGTCACGTGGAGCCTCGGCTCAACGTGGAGAAGCTGACGGTGGAGTGGTGGAGGCCCGACGTCCCGCCTGACCCTGGAGACCCGCTGAGCGAGTACAAGTATGTCCACCGCTACCATGACAACCACGATGAGGAGGGCATGAAGATGTCATCGTACTCTGGGAGGACGACGTTGTTCACAGACAGCCTGAAACACGGCAACATGTCTCTCAAGATCCTGAAGGTGAAGCTCTCTGATCAGGGAAGGTACAGATGTTTCCTCCCACAGTTACAGAGCCGAGCGAGGGCGACAGTTATCAAGTTCGTTGTTGGTGAGTTGGTTTCTGTTCAAAAGGGTTTACCTTTAAACTTTAAAAGACTACACATGTTATCGATGTATAATCAATTATCCAGCTTCAGCTGATGGAGAACATTTCAAATGTTACTGAAAATCTGCTGAGATATTGTCACAGTAAAAATACCATAGTTTCCTGTTCAAACTTTGCAGCTTGTCATTTTAAAAAATGTTTTTTCAGAAACAAAGCCTGTTGAAATCAGGACAACAGAGACGCCAACCCATCCCACAATCATTCAAACCCCACAATCGAAGAACGAGACGGCCATTACAGGTGAGAAAATGATTGCTACAGTTTGAGGAGAAAAACACTGACTTTAAAAATATCAGCTGAATCTAGAGTTCCTGCACACATTTGGAAATTAGGTGCTTTTGTTGTTATCCTTCACAATAACGTCAGTGTTTTTGATTTTGTCTGATCAGAAACTAAATCATGTCCGTGTGTTTCCATCAGGTGGTCGGCCATGTCCACGCAGACTGATCCCACCTGTGCTTTTCTGTGTCTTGCTGATAATTGGAGGTGGATATTACATTAAACGGAAGTGTCACAAACAAGATGTAAGTCAGACCCTTCAGAGAACTAGTAGCGACGAAGGCCCCTTGCTGCGTCGCCTGATGTTGCCGTGTCTCGCCAAAAAAGTTGCACAAGAACACACCGCAAAGACTACAGCTGACGACAAACCAGCATGTATGTTCTGCACCTGCGTCAGAGGAAATAACTCTCTATACCAACAGACGGTGGTAGTCTGTAATCCTTACCAGACGACCATCTTGATGCTAGTTAGCCAGTTAGCACATTAACAACACAATCCAATGCTGGAAGAACAGAGTATATTTACCGTGCGCCACTGAACAATAACACAAAGCATCAGGAAACATTCCTGCTAAAGAGAAAAATAATCTGACCTCATGGAACAAATTTGTTTTTGTCTCACTTCCTCAGGACTTTAGCGCTTTGTTTACTTTCCTCACTTATGTTTCTCTTCTTGTGTGCTGAGCTGAACTGCTAGTCAGTGTGATTTCACTCACCAGCGGGTTCCGCCGTGTTGAACCACCCCCAAAGAAGCAGATAGGGGCCGACGAGGGTGGCAAACACTCACCAATGGCCCAACTAAGTGCTGGACAAATAAAGTAAACCAAAGTATCATTGATAATTTTAGTGTAAACAATATCAGAGCTGAATAATTTGGTTTTTAATCAGCAGGGGCCAGATGCAAAAAACTCTTTGTGGATTCATGACTAAAACTGTGTGTATGCATAAAGACAGAAATATACATATGCATTCAATTTCAATTTTTCAATCAATTTTATTTATAAAGCCCAATATCACAAATCACAATTTGCCTCACAGGGCTTTACAGCATACGACATCCCTCTGTCCTTATGACCCTCGCAGCGGATAAGGAAAAACTCCCCAAAAACCCTTTAACGGGGAAAAATTATTTTCGTGAGATGAATAAAGTCATGTGTATGCCCGATTCTGCTTTATAAATCTGGGCACATGGGCACCATTCAAAATTAAGTTTATAAATGCGCCTTTGATTGACATTTCACAGAACACCGTGCAGCCTGCAAAAATAATAATACAATGAGTGAAACTGGCAAACAGCCTAAAAACAATGTTTTCCGTCTCTTAAATTTAATTTGCTACTAATCACCTGCAGCTGTCTCAGCTAAAACAGTGTGAACGCCCGCTCTGAACAGGGTGTGAGGTGCGCACATTCCAACCGCACATTCTTCCTTTTTAATTACCAGTCTGTGTGAGGGAACAGAAGTACGGTTTATGCAGCTGGGTGCAGATGATGTGTTACAGATGGATAATGGATACAAATCTTTCTGTTGATCGTTCACATTATCATAAATCTTGTGTTTATTCTTTTCTCAGTTTACAGAGTGTGACATTCCAGACAAACTCCTTCCACTTTAGAGGCCTTGCTCAAGAGCACCCCGGCAAATACTGTTAATGGAGATGAGTGTCATACATGTTCCTCTCCTGGATCTCCTTGGTAAGTTTTAGGATTCAAACCAACAACCCTTGCAGCCACAGGTGGACACAGAAGAAGCAAGGTTTTCAGCTTTGAATGACCCTTTAAACCGATGACCTTCTTCATCTGTCTGTTCAGACAGCTGAACACCTGAATGTTTCAAGGTGATGATGCCTCAGACTATTTGTTTATAATGAAGCAGATGTGAAGCCTTGAGGTCCACTTTTAATCTCTGCATAATGTTTGTCACTTGGAGCCAGGACCCAAATACTGGGCAGTGCAGTGAACAAGTGCAACCTGATTGGAAGAGACTGTCGAAAGATGTGATGTGTCAGCCAGGTGACAGGTGTTTTTTTTATGCCAGGGCAGACAGAAACTCACCCAACCTGCACAGTGCTGAACTGGGAGTGGTTCTCATTCCATTTTCATTGCCGATTTGGTTCAATGGCTCTGTGCAGCAAGTAAACAAAATACAATCTGAACCAATATCACAACCATACAGACACAATCTGCACTGCGATGTTTGCCAACACTTACAAGCTATAAACCCACAAAGTGAAAGTTAATCACAGTATTGTTTCCACCTCTTGCTGTATGCTCACTAGCTCATAGAGGTACAGTGTCATACCTGAACGCTACCTGCACTTCCTGCTGCTACATGACAAACAACTAGGCTAAATTAGTCTACCCGAAAACTAGCTATGTAGTTTCCGTAAACTGCACCAGTGAGTGCAGACAGTGTTCATCATCTTTAGTTATCTACTGCATGTTCTCATTTTGGCCCCTAGCCTGAACTAACATCATCTTTAAGAGATCTTATTTATTAGAGTTTAATCAAGATAAATGAGATTTGAAAAATGTGTGTCGATCAAATATTTTGGTGCTGAAAAAGACCCTAAGAGGTGAAATTTGTTGATATCTTTATGCCATTGGTGTAAAAACACGCACCACTGAAGAAGTTTATTATCAGGTTGGTCTGAACACCACAGTTAGACAAGAAACTAGAACAGTCAACATGTTCTCATCCCAAGTCATCACATATCGCTGCTTTGTCTGTGGACTTTCACATCTACATATTACATGCCAGGTATTCTTTGGCATCTGCTGCTGACTTTTGACTTTAAATAGAAATACACATTTAAATTTTTGCATACATAATGTATCTATCAACCACGTGCAAGATGCCAGGCTCCTGAATTATTTAGTAAATATGGGAAATTGTATTTCTGTTATGCAAAATGTTTGACACAATACTCAACTGAAAAGGTGATTCCATTTTTAATATTGTCCAATCATGACTATTGCCCAGCAGGTCTAATGCTACAATAGGTAAGATAAAGAGAGAGAGACATATAACGTGCTGTTGTGAAACCAGGACAAATCTTGTTGCAGTGCATAACTGTGTCGCTTGGTTATTGTTAAGAACTCTCTTAATTACTTGTATTTATAAGAAATATTTCCGTTACAAAGACTCCATTTATTTTATAAAATAATTCACCATTTAGTTTAGATAGACATGACCGTTCTGCAAAACTATAGACAGAAATGTTACATTACCAAAAGTAAAGTCAAACAAATGATCAAGTACCGAGCTTTGAATGGAATTTTACTCCCATAACATATCACACAAGAGAACAGTAATCCTATTTAAATTTTAGTTAAACTGCATCTTGTGATAGAAACATTGAAATGATATCAAAACTAGTTTGGCTAAGTTTTAAACAAATTAAGGACAACTGTTGGTTTGATTATATTAATGTGTCGTGGGGCTCTGGAGGGTCTGTCTGAGTTTGTGGACCAGGAACACTGGAGTGAAACAGACTATTTCATGTATTTTTATTATTGTGCTGAATACTGGAGTTAAAGGGACAGTATTATGATGTACGATGTGTCGGAGATACTGATGTGAAACAGACTTTTTTCATGGACTGTGGGATAAAGGGACTATGTTTGAGTATTTTGACAAAGGTGAAGGGACTATCTTTATATACTTTGATAATTGTATTGAATAATAGGGTTTAAGAGACATTATCATGATTTACACTCTGTTGGAGTGACACAAACTATCTTAATATATTTTGAATATTGTATTGAATACTGAAGTGGACAGTATTATGATTTACAATGTGCTCAACGTACTGGGGTAAAACAGACTTTCCCCATGTATTTCAATTACTGTATTGATACTGGAGAGTAAGTGACAGTATTATGATTTACAGTCTATTGGAGATACTGGAGTCAAACAGTCTATCTTCATGTTTTTGATTATTGTATTGAGTACTGGAATGAAACAGACTATTTTCAAGTAACTGGGACATTGTCTTTAATGCTAGGTTAAAGGGACTATTTAAGTATTTTGATTACTGTATTGAATGAATAGGGTTAAAGAGACAGTGTCATTATTTACACTCTGTTATTCTGACCATTGTATTGAATATTGGAGTGTAAGTGACAGAGATACTGGAGTGAAACATACTTCTTTAATGTCTTTGGATTATTGTATTGAATACTGGCGTTGAACGAACAGTATTATGATTTACACTCTGTTGGAGATAGTGGAGTGACACAGACTGTCTTCATGTAATTTGTTTATTCTATTGAATACCCGAGTGGATTAGACAGTATTATGATGTACAATGTGTTGGAGATACTCAAGTGAATCAGACTATCTTCATGATTTTGATTATAAGATAAGATTTATTGTATTGAATATTAGGGTTAACTACTACTAAATTGATTATTGTATTGAACACTGAAGTGAATTGAATATTTTTATTGTTGTATTGAATACTGGAGTGAAAGGTACAGTATTATGATTTACAATATGTTGAAGACAGTGTTGTAACAAAGACTGTCTTAATGTATTTTAATTATTGTATTAATAGTAGAGTGACAGACCATTTTCATATATTTTCATTATTGTATTGAATACTTGCAGAATGGACAGTATAATGATGTACAACGTGTTGGAGATACTAAAGTGTAACGGACTGTGTCATATATTCTGTTTATTGAATTGCTGTATTGTCACTATGAAGTGTTCTGTTTTATGGACCCCGGGATGAAACGCTGCTGCAATGCTAATGATAATGGAGATCCTAATAAATGTATAAGCTGGTAAGCTAATGCTAATTAGCATTAAATATCTATAGCATTATCTTGTTCTGACTACTGCACTTTCTAAATAAATACAGTTGTATCTCATGTTTTTTTTTTTTTTTCTTCAGTTGTAAAAACACTGTACACATACCACTATGTTTTAATTTTACATGTGATAACAATCATTAATTTAAATGGCAATAGTCTTTTTTACAATTTCAAAATAATGTGGAAGGAAGATTGTATTACATATTAAAGTGTTTCTTATAGGGTACTTTGGAGAACTGCAGGGGGTACAAGATAAATTGAAAATTGATCATGCATAATTTTAAAATAAATTATACTAAAATGAGTTTTTAAAAAAGTAAATATAAGTTTGATAAACCACATTCTAAATCTAGTATTCCTATGATCATGTACTACTTCTACTACTACTACTACTACTATTATTAATAATAATAATAATAATAATCATATTCTATTAATATAAATTGTCGATATTCACTGGGCGGCATATTAATGACAGTATCAGGACTGTTAAGTCATGTGACTGGTGATTTGCTGGAGGCTGATTAGTTGACTTTTTCATGCTGTGCTGCCATCTTGTGGAGGAAGGTCAGTATCACAGTATCAGAGTTGTCAACTCTGACTAAGCAGGGTTTTATTTGTGCCAAGTTAAAACATGAAACAGAGATTCCATCAAGGTGTTATTCAGGGTTTTGTCAAAAACATATTTACCGCATATGTACTGCAGCTGCCAAAGTGGTGACTGATGCTGAGGCAAAGGTCAATTAACAGCAGGCCTCCAAGTCTGCTGAGCATTATATTTAAGAAATGTGTAATATTGTTTTGTGTTGTGAACACAGAAGAGTTACTGGCTTACTGGTATGAGCAGAAAGTCCAGGCAGCAGTAACTGAGAGACCACAGGTAAACTGGAAAAAGGTGCAGTCAGACAGGCAGGTGAAGGTCCAGATAATGGCAAAGTCTCCAGGGTAACAGGTAACAGAGACATGAAGGCAGAGGCGCAGAGCAAGAATCTGAGCAAGTGTAAATGAAAATGACTGATGAGTATGGGGAACAGGTGAGTGTGTGGGTGGGGAAGGTCAGAGGGGAGTGGCTGGATCTGGACTGACAGGACACTGAGACAGGTGGGGAAGTCTGAGGGCCTCTGGTGGATGGATGAAGAAATGCAGAAGGTTGAAGAGGAAGACTGAGGACATTTATATACGATGCTTGTGGTCCTTCTGCTGAGATTTTATCCTTCCACAAGGGGGTGCCACAGGGCTCAGTGTTGGGTCCTCCTTATTTTACATTGTGCATAAATAATCTCAAATAAAACTAATTTTAAGCTGTGGAACAATGAGAAAAGAGTGTCTCACATGTTTTGCTTTCATCATTTTTTCTTTTAGTTCATCTTTCTTTGAATGTTAATAAAATGTTTCTGTGACTTACAAACAACTGTGCTGCTTTTTTGGGGCCATGACTCAAGATAGAGATGTGAGACATGATGCGTGTGTGTGTTTTTCTGAAAACATGTAACCACAGAGACGGTATAGAGAGGATGTAGTTATTCTGCTCTTATGTACAGAGATCACGTGGTGTTCAAGGCTCACTCACTTTTAGAGCGTTAAGGCCAATACAACCACATGTTACTTATTAATAACCATCATTATGATGCTTCTTTATAAGGTCTGACAGTCAGTCAGCATCAGGACAGGATGGCGCTCACAGGTTTCCTCCTCGCTCTCTGTGAGTAACTTTACTTTTAGTGCACTTCTAAGTAATTTTTTTGTAATGCAGAAACTCTAGGGTAGAGTTTAACCTGTTAGCAAGCTTACTTGTCTACAAACATGATAGTCTGATATTACCGTCTCACTGTAGGCCATGTTAACGACATTCCCCTCGATGTTCTTCCCCTGTAATGCTTACCTCATGTACGTACCTATGAGAACCCTATCAACTAAGAACCCGGTTTAAAAGCAACAGCCGTTTTTCATCATTGTGAAACTGGATGCATTAACTTTTAACCTTTAAATTCCAATAATTTATCCGTAACAATGATGTATTAAGAGGATAATTAATGTACTGAATGATGGATTGTGATATGAGGTACTTCAATGGATCATCTGCAGCATATGAGGACCTCTAAGGGGTAAACATCTCTTCAAGATTTTTTGCTCTAAGTGTGAAAATTCAGGCATGACTTTCATCCTATTTCGTAAATATTACATTTTTAATGCTTAAAAACTTAAAAAACATTACATATGTTACAATACAGGAACAATTAGCATGACCCTTGAATCTGCACCTACTGAAAAATGTCCTTTTATGGTACAAAGTTCCTTAAGCATTGCAAAAAAACTTTAAAAGACCGTACCGACTACAACAACAACAACTTTGATTCAGATGAAAGTGTTTGGTGTCTTTTCGAGATAAATTCAGCTTTAAGAGGTGAAGCTGAGTAGTTTGTTGTTTGTCCTCTCTGCAGCCACCCTCTCAGTCTCACCAAACAGACCTCAGATCTTTAAGTACGAGACTTTCACTCTGAGCTGTGAAATGTCGTCAGTATGGAGAGTGAAGGCCAAAACAGTCCGAGGGGTCTCAGAGTGTGGACGTGACTGGGGCAAACTGGAGGCTTCCACCTGTGTCATCAAGGAAGCCTACCACTGGAACAGTGGAGAGTACTGGTGTGAGTCCACTTCAGGAGAGAGAAGTCCAGCTGCCAACATCACCGTCACTGGTTAGTTCATCACAGGAGGCAGATGGACTAGCATTTGTGTGTGGGGCCCATGTGAGTAGTGGTTGGGCTCTATATGGGATTGTCCACTGGTTCCATGTTGGCCCAGTGCCATATACCCACATGGGTGGGTTTACCCAAGTGGGCCGCACATGGGTTATACTAAGGCTATCTGGGTACCAAGTGGGTATGGATCCAAAATGGGCATCTCATCCGGAGCCCATTTGGATTAAACCACCCATGTGGGTATGTGGCACAGGGCCAACATGGAACATATGGACAATCCAGTATAGGGCTCATTTTTCAGCCCATCTACTATCCACTTGGGCCCCCCATACAAATGTCAAGTGCCTGCAAACAGAGACCCAGCTAATGAAACATTTAGTAAAATTCTTAAACTGTGTAAAGGCTACAGCTTGTGGGTTCAAGCACTAAACAGGACATAATTACTTGCTGGTTCTCTTTCATTTTACAGTTAGCCTACGTTTTTGATTAATGACCGCAATAACAAACACATATTTCCTGTGATTGCTTCACAACAAAAGCCACCCCATGTTTTGCCAGTTGAATGCTTTCGATGTGAGGCAGCAGCAGCAGCAGTAGGAAATGTTGGGTTAGCATTAGCAGTAACTTAATCCTGCTCTGACATGGCTGCAAAGTGAGCAGTGAAGCAGATATCAGTGAGATGAAATCACAAACAGTATCGCTGGATGACACGCTGCATCATTTTCCTGAATGCCTTGTGCATGTTAAGGCACTTTGAGGTAATAACAGATGTTTTTAAAAGTAGACCATAAATGGTTGATCAAAAAAGGGGCTTGACTTCATGAGAATCTTATGAATTATTACTTTAAAGGCCCAGTGTGAAAGATTTAAGGGGATTTAGTGGAATCTAGTGGTGAGGACTGCAAATTGCAACCAGTCTGAAATTCTCCTGGTTAGGATTACTTTAGGGTTTATCGTTCAGGAGGTTTTTACCAGAAGCGGAATTATCCACAGAGGTCTCTTCCTCGGATTTCTGTGGAGACTTTTTTCTTAATAAGCTGAAATTCTTCTGCATTTCAAAGACAGTAATGTGGCCCTGGAGAGTCCTGTGTTTCCTGTGACGGAGGGACAATCTGTGACTCTGCGCTGCAGGACCCAAAGCAACTCCTCAGACCAGCAAGCCAGCATCTTTCGAAAGAACAGATCTGTTGTTGGTGCAGCGATCACAGGGCAGATGACCATCCCTGCAGTGTCCAAGTCTGATGAGGGCCTCTACATGTGCATGATCCCTGATGTCGGGGAGTCAGCAGAGAGCTGGCTCTTTGTCAGAGGTGAGCTGAAGCCAGAAATATGGGGAAATATTACTGTGTGTTAATGTCAGCTTAATTTATGCTTTGTCTACATTTTCCAATGTGCACATTTTGCAACTCATAATGCATGTAGACCTAACAGCAGTGAAAGGAAATGTTCACAACGTATAAAGCCTGTCTGAAAACGTCTCTACTTTGTCACTGTTCTGGTGAGACTGCTGCACACTGTGTTATTTATACGAGACAGAAACAACTTGTGGTTTCACACAGAAGGAGCCACAGAGACAGAAAGGTCACGTCCACTGTCTGACGGCTTTACTGGAAATGTGACAGAAGGTGAGCGCAGGAAACACTGAGGTGAAACTAACCTGTTGAACATTATATACAGCTCATAAACATGTCCCCTTAAAGAGACACAGATGGTCCACATCCTGTCTCATGTGGCAGATACAGTATTTATGAATATTGTAGAAGAGGAGTTACACATGTTTCATGAGCTGATGTATAAAACTGATGCTGAGTTTTACCTCCAGCAGGTCCTGGTGCTCCTGCAGCTCCCCTCCTGTCCGTCTCCAGACTGATGTGTCATGTAGTGGTGGGAGTTCCGTACCTGCTGTCCACCATCCTACTGGGACTCATATGCAGAGACAGAGCAAGAGGTGAGTCACATCTTTCTCTGTGACTGTCCTGATGGAGGTAAACTGGGATGCAGGGGATGTTAACTGGAAGATGGGGGAAAATATATTTTTTACCTAGAATATGTGTTTATTTGTCACTTTCAGCTTCTTTTTTTATTTAACACACTGAGTATATTATATTATATGGTATATTATTTTTACAGATGTAGCCCTTTTTTGTTTAACTCCATCAGGACTTGTTTACTTATCTGCAGGAAAGACACTTGCCGTCACCACGGAGATGCCACAGCGTAGTGCAAGAGGACAGGGACTGGATAATGACTATGTTGATGCCACCACTGAGCATGACCTCTGAGCTCTGCAGAGACTGTGTGTTACAGTAATGCTGCACTTATTTTTACAATGAAGGGATTTAAAGGAACAGTGTGTAAGATTTAGTGGCATCTAGTGGTGAGGATTGTACACTGCAGCCAGCTGAAACGTCTCCTGGTTAGAATTCCTTCAGTGTTCATCGTTCAGGAGGTTTGTACCAGGACTTGAATCATCCACAGAGGTCTCTTCCTCTCCAAAACAAACGGACCAGGCGATTGAAACCAGTAGAAACACTGAATAAAGTAGTTTCACATTAAAAAAATCTATGTTTTAACGACACTCTCGGTGCAGATGGGCTTCTAACTATGCAGGCTGATGCAAAAACGCGACAAGGGGAATGACCATATCTAAAGTCAGTGTTGGGCTTCTACTTGGCGGTGCAACATGGTGACCTCTGTAGATTCTTATTTTCAGGTGATTATACACCAAAGAAAACTACTTATTATATTATATTCCAATTCAGCCAATATATCCCCCTAAATCCTACACACTGGGCCTTTAACTACACTGCAGGAGGATTGTTAATTGTAATATTTTTAATTGTTGTATGATTAAGAATTATCCTTGGATTTGCAGTGTTTGAACACAAGGATATTTTGTCAGAAAGTAAACTTGTAGCTTTCTTTTAGCATGTGCATTCGAATTTGTTTTAAGCAGTTATTATGGGCTTAATACTGCTTAAAAATCAAAAAATGAGGAGGGTTAGCTTATCACCCTTGAGTGATAGGATCAGTGATGATGATGATGACTGTGCTGGTGGGTGGCGCCATGTTAATTGTTTGCCTGTGCCAATAAAGCATTGATGAAAATTTTCTTTTATGTTGATTTCAGGATGATAAATGAAGTTGTAATGCACTTAGTTGTTTTAGCCAGCATTTTCTATAATCTGAGATCAAGAACTTATAATTTTTTTTACACTGTTTGGCCAGCTGTCAGAGTCTGATTGAATTTAGCATGATGACCAGCTTAATTATTTCCCGGATCTTTGGTGTCAGCCTGGTTTTACTCCCAGAGCATCAAAATACACCGCTGCAGCACCTGTTAGCTTCTGTGTGCGACACACCAGGCTTTCCGCTAATCTCAATGTAAACCCAAACAAATAACATCAGTTGCAACATTTGTGCTACTCAAAGCTGGGTGTATTTTCAGCAAAACGCCGCTGCCTTTCCGGCACTCAAAGCCAGAAATGCTGTTGCCTTTCTCCTCAAAGCCTGTAGTTTTTTATGCACTCACTGCAACCCTGTGGGATACATTTGTGGCACTCAAAGCTGGGTGTTGTTTTAGCAACACGCTGCTGCTGCTCTGCTGCCGCTGCTCTGCTGCCGCTTTTCTAACCACATTCACAACACTTGAAGCCGGGTTCTTTTTCAGTGACACGCTGCAGCCCTTCCGGCTTAGTCTGTGGCGCTCCCGAGAAGGCCATGCTGCTGCCTTTAAAAGCAGGTGTTGTTTTAGCAACACGCCATGCCGTCACTTTTCTGGCCACGTTTGTGGTACTCAAAGCCGGGTGTTTTTGGCAACATCCTCAAACTTTTCCCCACTGCAAAGTAATTTAGTTGCCTAAACCCGAATCACTGACCCCTTCTGAGTCATGATACAACCCAAAAGGTTGCCTCTGGCATCATTTCAGTAACACCCAGGGCTTCTGCCCAAGCTGCAAAATATGACAAGTAGGAATTAGATCATGTTGTAAATGTATGTAGAAATGCAGGGAAATGCAGGAGATTCAAATGGCAATTTTTAGAAAAAAAAAATTAACTTTCTTTTTTGTGAATTTGAGGGGATGAATTACAAAACCATGTATGGATTTACAAATTAAGTTTTCTTTGGCTACCATGTGACCCCAGAGGGCCTCCGTAGATAAGAGTAAATATTGGCAAGTTAGTGTATCTTAGTCTGAAATGATGGAGCATGAGCTAAGAATTTACCCCCACACTGACTTTGTCTCTCTTTAGTTTCCCTTTCTGTCTTGTGGTTTCTGATTTTTGTTCCTATAACAGAACGCGTCACTTGATGTGGTCAGACTGAACACTAAACTAGAGAGTGCTGAAGTTCAACAGGAAGTTTAACAGGTGAAAAACAGCATAAAGAAACCTCCCCTCCCCAGAGTGAAGCTCATAACTGTCTCAAGTGTCAGTGCATATACTGGCTGATAACTTTTGTTCACTGATTCCTATTTTTGATTTTAGTTTATCTTGCTCCTGATCTTTAGATCTGCAGGATGGTTCAGCCGACGTCACCCAACATCAGAGCTTTGCTTTGCTGTCACACTGTGATCTTCCACCTCCTGATACTTCGCTCTGCAGGTAATATATCCTCACACAGCTATTATAGTTTACTGTTGCTTCTATTCTGTGTCAAATGTTATGCACGTGCTGTTAAAGTGATGCTCTGTGTTCAGACCCTGGGTCCTCTCTTTAACAGCTCAACAAACACACGTTACATTGTCTTATCAGCTTTATACAACATGACTTTGGTTAAATTTTAAAGTTCAGAGTTTTGCTATGAAAATAGAAAAAGATAAATAGAAGATAAAATAGGATAAAGAGAAAATACAAAAAAGTTTTCTATCAGAATTAGAAAAATATAAAATATAAAGTCCTACATTTAGACACAACTATACACTCAACACTGTTTACACTATATACACCTTTCACTTATGCACATATGGAGAAAGAATATGTACATATGAATAAATGTATGGGTATATATTGACAGCTGCACAAGATAATTGCACATTGGATGTAATGCACACATGATGTGTCATATTAAAAATGAAAAACAATAAAAAGAATAAATTAAATTAAAAGAATATTTAAACATATAATGATAAAATTACAAAACACAAATAAATACAAAAATACAGAACATTTACCCAAACAACAAAACCATAAAACAAACGCTACAAATCACCTCAGACATTATGAAAGGTGGAAGCAGTGCAACAGTTTAATCATTCCTATTACGTTCAGTGTTCGACCTGCAGGTGCACGAGGCCACTTCCAGTCGTACTCTGATTTAATAGGTATCACAGACAAACAATAGAGTTCCTCAACCTGCTCAGCTGAGCCTGTCGGACTCTAAATCTTCTGTGTAAAGAAAAAAACTTGACTTTGAACCACAACCTTTGAGCAGATGCGTAGAAGCCGAGCCAGTCTAGCTTTGAGCTAAACAGAGACAGCTGCAGCATGCACTGATTCTGTCCTGCATAACTCTCCGTACTAGAGAAACAAAACAGGATCTAAAGCACAAGGGTTAAGTTGCAAGCTCTCCCTGCCACCAGTGAAAAGACTTCACACTACACAAATTATTCTTGTAACAGGAATCAGATGTTTCCATCACAGGTCAGTCTACAGCGGTAAATCACCCAATAGTGGCGACAGCAGGTGATGACATCACTTTGCCATGCCTCCTGCAACCTGCCATGGATGCTGTCTCCATGACTCTGGAGTGGTCAAGACCTGACCTGAACCCCAAGTTTGTCCATGTGCAGCGTGATGGCAAGCATGTGCCCGCTGAGCAAAACCCAGCCTACACAGGAAGAACATCAGTGTCCACTGAGAATCTGAAGCACGGAGACCTGTCACTGAAACTCTCCACGGTGGAGCTGTCTGATAGCGGCACGTACAGATGCTACGTTCCAGAAGTGAACAAAACATCAGTCATCGGTCTTTCTGTTGGTGAGTAGATCTGTCACAATGTGCATATCAGCAGCACCTTAGATTTGTTAAGGTAAACTGAAGAATCACATTCATTAGTGCAGTTTTAAAGAGGTGTATGTTTTGCAGCAGCGTGACAAACATGAAAAAGGTGCATCAGTTCCAGTGTAGTCAGATATATAGTTACTGGATTTGTACGATCATTTTGGCCTATGTGTGATATGCAATCAAAAATGCCAGAAAGTGCCACATTATACAATTATTTGACCTTTTCACTGTAAAGCCCCTGAAAAAGGCTTGTGATTTGTGATATTGGGCTTTATAATTAAAACTGAATTGAACTGAACTGAATTTTGTGTCACTTAAAATTAGTAGTTGGTTTTAGTCTCATTTTAATTAATTTCCTGACATGATCAGGATTACTATCCTGATCATGTCAGGAAATTAATGAGGATTCTGCCTCGTTTTCTTGTGTGTAGTGATGGCCAAATGAGGCCTCATGAGCCATTGTCTTCATTTTCTGAAGCCACTAGATGGTGCTGTGTGTTCAACAAAGGTTTGAAAGCACATTTCACTGCCATACCTTCAGCCTTTATCTTTAACCCAAGAGCGCGTCAGGTGGAGTGAGAAAAAAAAAATGGTTCATGAGGCTTCATTTGGCTGTCACTACTTGTGCGATCTCTTTCCTGCCAATCATGCTTAGCGTAAGCTATGATGAACATGGCTCGTGAGCACGGCTGTCGTTCTGGAGCTTGAACTTTCTGTGTTCAATCAAGTGGTTTTGAAGGGACCAGTAGGTTCAGTTATTTATTTAATTAGCAGCCTGTTAAGAACCCAATTATGTTTCAAACAAACACACACAAAAAATCTTGTAGTGGTGGATTACTACTCTAAATGCACCCATAAGTCATTAGCAAAAACAAAAACAGAACAAAAAAAAAGAATATTCTGTGATCATAATTAATAGGATGTATTAGCTGATTGTATCATTAGAAAGTCATATCAGAACAGTATTTCCCCTGTTCATTTTCCACTGAGACTCAGATCTCTCGTCAATGACTGCACATTGACTTCAAACTCCAAAACAAATACATAAATACATACACTGTTTTATGTCTTTATCATTTCAGATGACATCCCTGGGACTCCTGTATATGGGATCGTTGTCTGGGTTATGGTCATGATTTTTGCCCTCATCATTCTCTGTGTGACCAAAGGCCAAATATGTATTTTAATCTGAAAAATAAATAAGTGTTATTATGTATCGCTGTTCACTGGAATCATGTTGTGATGATATGATTGTATTATGTTTTTATTGTGTAAAATTATTTCGCTCAAACTAATGCGTTACAGAAAAAGCTGACAAAAAGAGCGGCAAAGTTTTTTGTGCTGTATTACGTGTTGATTTTAAGGTCGGTGAAGATGATGATGATGTTGACGGTGTTGTTCTTGCCATGTAAATTGTTTGCTTGTGCAGAAGAAGCATTGGTGACATTTTTATTTTCTTACTTTCTTTTGATTCCATTACATAAAGTTGTAATGCACTTACAAAAGTTGTTTTAGCCTGCATTTACCATAACACCAACCTGTTCTCATTCCAAAGTCCTCAAGCTTGGTCGACGATTTCAATTAATAACGCAGCTGGTCGGCATCAGTTTGAAACACTGCTGGAAACAATGAAACTTAATGGGCTGGAAAGTCCCCATAGAGTGGGCGGGTGGGAGGGGAGGTGGATGGATCAAACAAACACCAGACTTTCACTCAGGAGACTGATGTCCACTTCCTGTATGAATGTTGATGTTGTATGCCTCTAACGAGCAGACGCACCCAGGACACCCTGTCCTTCTGTTCTCCTGTTTGAGTCCTTCAGTCTGATACGACGGAGCAACCATCTCTGAACACCTCCACCTTTAGATTTCCATTGTTTTTTTCCAATGCAGTACTTTCCCCTTAAATGTAAATGTCATAAAGTCCCCACAAATATAAATACTGTGGTAAGACGCAAGAATCTCTGGGGTGTTGAGACAGTATGTGCACCATTACTGTGGTTTTCTGCGGCTTAACCTGAATGTCTCATCATGTGGTTGGAACCAACACGAGAATTCTATCGGAGTTCAACAGGAAGTCCAAAGACTGAGAGACACCATAAAGGAGGCCACGATCTTTCACTTGCCGTGTGACAGTTGACGTGTAACTGTCTTTAGGGTCGGTATATTGGACATTAGCTGGTGACTGTTTTAGTTGTTCTCTAGTTATTTAATTTATAATTGATCAGACAGATTTTTGATTTTCTATTTTTATTTCTAATCTCCAGATCCAAAGGATGGTTTACCGGACATCTCTGACATTCGGAGCTTTGCTTTTCTGTCCAACAGTGATGCTCTTTCTTCTGATATTTTCTTCAAAAGGTAATATATCCTGACACAATATCCAAGGCTATTACAATTTTCAGTTGTTTCTATTTTATTTGTGTGTCATTTCCATTTATTGCTGCTTCCTCCTCCAATAGTTGAGCAAGTGTTGCTGCAGTGGTTAAGTGGTTTTCTTGAACTCTATGAGGTTTTTGTTTGGACCCTGGGTCCTCTTTTTAACAAAAAACATATCTGACTTTTATTTAATTTTATGAATTTTAACTCATGTTTCAGACATCTGCTGGAGAAAATGATTTCATTACGTATTTACTTACACTGATGATGGCATCCTGTACCATTCTCTCTCTGAATGAGGATATAAACCATGACATATTTATTCATGTAGCATAATACCAGTGCATTGTGGTATTTCCAGATTTTCACCTACATCAGGAGCTCAGTGTGTGTCAAAGGTCACACTTCTCTAGATATTAGGTTTTTAATTATACAAGTAATTAACTGTGTTGTGGATGTTGAAGCTTTTGCTCATTTGAGCTCCTTTATATACTGTTGGGTAGTTTAATCGACAGTAATGCGTCGTATTCTGTAAGATCATCATGTGTTTGTGGCGTGGCCGTCCTGTTAAAGCCACGTGTCAATAAGAAATGTCCCTGGTGTCAGTAAAACAGCCTGTTTACGGCTTTGTGGCGATACATTTTCCAGCTCATCCAGGAGGGTTTTTAGAGTTATTTCAATCAGGAGAGACTCATTCTGAGGGAAATACTATTATATCATATAGTCTTTTGCTTATTAGACCCCATTGTGGTATTATAGATTTAAGGAGGCTGGTGAGGCCGTAGTAGAATAGAGAATCCCCTGTGGAGTCTAGACTCTGGCAGTGCTTTTGATGAGCCTGTCCTGGGCTCTGGATATGATGACTGGAGCTGAATGGGGTGGAGGAGGGCGCCATGACTGAGGAGGATGTGACGCCTAAAATGACAGCAGAGAGAAGAACACAATCTAGATTGACAGTAGCTAAATGATTGGCTGATAGAGATCGTAGCAAACTGTGATTGGTTAACTGGAGGAGCAAACGCACATGATCAGCTGAATGGAGGAAGCTGGGGCCGTGAGATGGAAGGAGAACTGTGAATGAATGGAGCCTGACTGAACGTACTGAGCGTCATTTAGCTGAAGGGGAGACACGAGGCTGCAGATGAATGCAGTTTTTTCATGCACTGGTCTATTTTGAGATATTGGGCTATTTTGTGTCCATAATGTCTTATTTCAGACGAGTGGAAAGAAAAACTACAACATACATATTTGTTTTCAGTCAAAAAAGTTCAGAGTGCTCAGAAGGTTCATCTAATCATGTGACGAAGGTGCTCTTTGGTGGGAGACGAAGGTGCTCTTTGGCGTTTCGGCACAAAAGCCTTCTTCAGGGTGTGAAGAAGGCTTTTGTGCCGAAACACGTGGGCTGTAACCCACTTTCATCATGTTTTAACCTTTTCTATATGAAACAGCCATTTTTTAAATAAAGGCTTTCTATACATTTAACGAAGAGTGCCTTGGATTTCCCCTTTTTTGATACATATTTGTTTATTTTACTGAAGACTACTGTTCTGGTAATTTATGCAAAAAGCACGTAGTTAATTAGATAATGCCTTATTTGTATGTGTAAACATAAAATTTCAAACAAATTGTAATACCAAAAAATAACTGTCCTAATATAAATAATCAACTGAGGAAGTTTCATGGTAATATCTATTCCAAGTTTGACCCTTTTCACCTGTAGTGTCTTAGTTTTGGTCTAAAAGTGTATGGAATTTTACAATACATATCTTGCCATGTTCAGATTTTATGTTCTAGAAATTTATGCAAGGACATTTATGCAGGAAAAAACATTTTGAAGTTTATCGCAAATATTCAACATCAACACATCTGGAGATACATGGTTTTCATTGGACAGGAAGGGTATAACTTTAGGATGTAGTGGATAAGAGGTATAAAGTTTCATAAAATGTAAAACTCAAGTAAAGTACAAGTGCCTTAAATTTATGCTTTGAGACAGAGTCAATGTACTTAATTACATTTCACCACTGATAATTACCATTTTACTCATACAGCAGTGGGGTCCATGGCAAATGTCAGTATATACACAAACCTTAAATTGTATTAAGCCAACACATTCTCACTCCAACCTTGTTACATATGTTTGGTCATGAACTTTCCATGTTGAGACATGACGTCCAGGGTACCCTGGGTGTGTTGGTTGTTGATGTGACACCATGGACACCATGTCATCATCAGCCTGTTACATGCATTGTCTGTTTTTAAGCGTCGGTTTTCGATGACTTCGGCGTGAGACTAGGTTGGTTAAGCCTTTGGTTAAAAGACTGTTGACACAAAGGAATTCTGTTTCTATTACAGGTCAGTCTCAGGTTATTGCTCCATCTCATCCAACAGTGGGAAATAGCATCATTTTGCCAAAGGACCTGAACCCTGCCGTGTCTCCTGTCTTCCTGTCCCTGGAGTGGTCAGGACCTGACCTGACAGACATATCACTGAAACGCTCCAGAGTGGAACTCTCTGAAGACGGCTCCTACAGGAGCTATAATAACAGCAGTTCATCTCTCTTGCTGCTGGTAAGTAGATATACGATAATGTGTGCCTTTAAGTAAACGCTCTCTGTAAAGTAAATCTGTAGGATGGTCACATCAGTTAGTCAGCTGTGTGCTGTGCACCGACATTACAAACACTGATACAATACACAAGACTGCACACTGACTCCAAAACTCCAAATGCATTTATCAAATGTTGCTTTGTGTTTTATCGTTTCAGCTTGCATCCCGTGTGGCTCTCACATTTATGTGATCGGTTTTGGTGGTTACTGTCGTCGTCTGACTGAATGCCAAGTAAACCTTTGCCCTTGTGGCGAAATGTTCGCCTAATGTCCACCTCAAGGCCACGGACTGTATTAAAGAAGTGGACGTAGCCTCCGATCTGAAAGGTGAAGCCAATGCTTGGGTGCCTTTAACCTACATCATTTCTGACAGCCAGCAGGGGGCGACTCCACTGGTTGCAAAAATAAACTGGATTGTTTCGAGGTCTTTAAGAAAATGACCCAACTTCTCGTTTGATTTATTACAATATACATTGTCCCAATGAGTTTGCTTTCTCAGTTACTAATTTCAAGTCTTCTTCAACACAGCATGATGTTCATTTTGTTAATCATGGTCCCATTTAGACACCATCTGTGACACCTGTGAATTTTCATCGTCAAACTAATTTTCCTACATTCTGGTGAATGTTTATGCACAAATGTTTGCATTTTCTGCAACAACTTATGGTGTTAACGTTCTTAACTTTGTCAAAAAAAGTCCTCTGCTACTTTTGTGTTTTTGTTGGGGTGTGGGGGGATGGATGCTCTAAATATTGAGTCCCCCCTGAAATCTATGTTGTGATGTATAAGATTGCATATATGTTACACAGTAGATTTCACACTACCTCCACCTTACAAATGTCTGTCAGTCACAACTACATGAATTCATTGTTTGAGTTGGTGTGCAGACTGGGGATAAAAATGTCACTCTCTAAAAATGGTTAAACTCTTACTGTGGGTGGAATTGCTTCATATCCTGTAAGACTAATCTAGCTTATTTTATTTTTCTCAGTCATGTATTTTAAAGTTGTTCTGATGCGTTTCCTTTATCTGATGTGAACCATTTTGTGTTGTGTGTGTGAAAGTTTTAATAAAACAGTGCTATAAATAAAGCTGCCTATCTTGTTCAATCTCTAATAGGTTTCACTTCTGAGAATCTTGTTTCCTGTTTGATGATGAGACAGTCAGATACAACCACGCTGCTTAACCTTTATCTCTGACTTATTTTTGAGGTTTCCGTAATTACAGTCAAAGTAGAGTACAGTCAAATAAAGAATAAGGAGCATAATGACTCACAGTGAACAATGGAAACTCAGTCAGCCTGATTCTGGTCCTAAATTTGCTGTCAGCTCTCTGCCTTTGCCATACTGTACATTAAGTCTCATTTTACATCCTGACACTCCCTCCTGTCAGAAGTATTAACTGCATCAGGATGAGAAAATTCAGTTTTGGGAAGTTACATGTTTGAACATGAGGAAAAGAAGGGAAGTCAGAGGAAATGAAAACTAGGAACAAGAGATAAAGAAACAAAGGACAGACAATGAAACATAATAAAACACAAAGAAAAGGGGAAGTGGCGATTTAAGGAAGTGCAGTTATTGGCACTTCAGCGTTGACTTTATTTTTCAGTCGGGAGGTTGCAGCTTGGATAATCCTCTGGGGAAACACATTGCCTTATGTTCAGAAATGGGAGCATGGCAGTATGCTGAATGCAAATTGCGGCAATGCCCTGTCAGTGATTCTGAGTTGCTTGGCTTTGCACTGTGGTAAGAAGTACAAAAACTGACATGTTATGAGTCTGATGGTGATTCTATATGTGTGTGTGCAAAGTGAGAATATTTCTACGCACATACTAGTGAATGTGTCTGCTGGAGGAAAAAGTATGATCTCTGACATCACTGTGCAAAATTCTTCAGTTTCTATAAGTCTGAAAGCTTGCATTAAGTTTAGTAATGGAAATACAGATTTTTTGGTTGATTTATCTTCCCACTCTTGTCAACTTGTGGATTTAATACTAAACTGAGATCTCCCCTCAATATAACTGTTGAGTTGCAAACTTCCTTTTTCTTTATATTATTACCGCTCCCACCTGCCATAAATTACTTTAGTGAATGTGGCCCATTGTCTCTCTTTTATTTAGTTTCTCTTTCTCTCTGTGGTTTTCTTCTACTAAAACAGAACGTCTAACTTGACGAGGTCAGTGTGACTTCTGTACTCGTTAGAAACAGGACGTTCACAGCATCCTGTTCTTCAAGAGGGAAACAGCATCAAGAAACTTCACCTTGCAGTGTAACTGTCTTTCATGTGAGTATAACTGTATTGGTTTCCTTTGACCTGTTCACTGCCTCATTTCTGATTCATCATAGAAATATTATTGATTTTCTTTCATCTTACTTTGTTTTTTATTATATTTCAGATCTCCAGCATGGCTCTCCTGACTGATGAATGCTCTTTCAGGGACTTCATTGTTCCGCTCTTCCATCACTGCGTTATCTTCCTCCTCCTAGCGCAGTCTTCTGCAGGTAATATACATTTAAATAACTACTGATCTTGTTGTTTGCTTGAAGGCACATAGTCAGGCTTTTATGTATTGTTTCTATTGAAAACAGTTCTTGGGACAGTACCTTTGCTGAACTTTGACGGAGGGCTTTAATTTTCTTGAGATAATTCTTCCAATTAGCTTCCCAAAATGCTTAAATGTCCATCATGCATTCTTTTATCACATGAATTGCAGATATTTTAACATATATTGTGAAAACTTTGATTACACAGTGTAACTTTAAATCGTTGTGGGTGTCTCCATAAACAACACAAAGGGCTCATAGGGAGACCGAACATAAAGGACACCACACCGACTATTGCCAAAACAAACTCTTTATTTTTTTAATCAATAATACTTTAACTAAATAAATGCAAATCATAAACAAAAGAGGGATGGAGGTCCTGGCAAAAGAGAACCAAAAGTCGGAGCTGCTGGGCCAACCATGCAGTGGGCCGTCGCACCCAGCAGCTCCCACACTAACTACCTAAATTAAACATCTAATCTAAACAAAAAACAAACAACGAAAACTGAGCTACCGGAGACCTCCAACCCAAACTAAAATTACAGCTGCTGCACAGCGATGGGTCACGTCGGGGCATTTTTAGGCAATTCTGAGCAACAAGCAGAAGAATTGGAAGACATTTAGGAATTTAGCAACACAATCTGCCTTTTGCATCAGCTGAGGCTTGAACTCACAACCTCTGAGACTAAGAATCAATTTCTATCTCACTGAGCTAATTAGTCAGTGACAATTCATGTGTAGCTTCACAAACTGACTAAGCCAGATGTGCAGGTTTAGCAGCCGTCCATGCATGGAAAAGCAGATTTCAAACCACTGTAAAAAAATTCACTTATCAAAACAAAAATCTGAAAATACACATATTGCATCTAGACAGCATGGAGATGTGGATTTGCTCCATAAGTGAAAAACTGATGTTTAAAATTGCCATTTTTGCATAGACTCCAATTGTTCACATTAGAGCAAAATTCAAAATGCTGTCAAAAATTCAGTTTTTGAGATAAAATTCTGAAATTTGCCACACATCATCTACCATGACTCTAGAATTTTGTCATTTTTTCATGAACATTGAAGATTTATTTAGCAAGTATATGTTTACAGTACTGTTGACAGTCAAACATTTTGATGCACTGTAGGCTCAATTTTTGATAAATCAAAAATCTGAGAAACATAGTTTGTGTAGGACAGTCTGAAGATGCTCTGTAACAAGTTTGGTGTCAATTGAGCAAAAATTGTGGGAGGAGATAGGTTTAAGAAGTTTTACAGTTTTTGAAAAAAACAGAGTGATGAACTTCATAATTTTTAATAGGTTTAAATGTACAAAAGTTTCTTCAGTATTGGGGCTACAGTTTGATGAAAGTTGTGAAGTTGTAGCACGTATGGTTGATTTGTTATGAATTTTCAAAGTTTTGAACTTTAGACACTTGCTGTAGCGCCACCATCAGGACTATTGGCTTGAGTTTACAGCTGAGGATATCTGGCATGAGACTGGACCTTTGTGCAAAGTTTGTTGAGTTTTCACCCATGGGAAGTATGATTTCCTCAGATGAAGAAAGAAGAAAGAAGAAAGAAGAAGAAGAAGAAGAAGAAGAATACCTAGGATTACAATAGTGTCCTGGCAGCTGCCCGGAACCTAATAAGAAAGGAGGTTGCACGCTAATCCATGCAACCCCCGCCTAACCAAAAGAAAGGCAACAAAAGACAGCTCTCCAAGCTGACTGGCGAATGGGTGTGTGTGAGACAGCTCCTCTCACTCTCTCGTGTGCTTTTATCAACTCCTCCCATCCTCGTCAGTCTCATAGGCTCCACCTGTCAGGAAAGTCAGATGACAGCACAGGAGGAAGAGAGAGAGAGAGAGAGAGAGAGAGAGAGAGAGAGAGAGAGACACACACACACACACACACAGACTGACACGTAACAGTGGGCTGTTGGTTTGATTTAACACTTTTAAAATTGTGATGTTTGGTGATGGAGCTGTGGTTTAATTCGTTAGTCTAAGAGGTCACAGCAGGTATAAATAAACTTGACTTGACTTGACTTTGCTGAAGCCAAATTCCTTTCCTTTCTACAAACACGCACTGTGCAGCCTCTGCATACAGCAGACAACCTGTAAACATAATCATACATGTAAATATGCAGGTACCGTCCTCAGCACAGTCTGTTTCTTTGCAGGTCAATCTCCGTTAGGCGGTCCAACTCTGCCAATAATGGCAGTTCTTGGCGGTGATGTCATTTTGCCATGCCACTTGATGCCTCCCATGAGTGCTGTTGCCATGACTGTGGAGTGGACAGGACCAAACTCCAGCACTGTCCATGTGTCTCATGATAATGTGGACCTCTTGGATCATCAAAATGCATCCTACAAGGGACGAACATCTATGTCAAGCGACAACTTGAAGTGTGGAGTCATTTCACTGAATATCTCCGGAGTAAAACTCACTGATGTTGGAGAATACAGATGCCACATTCAAGAATTTGATACAACCTATACTGTTCAGCTTCTTGTCCGTAAGTGGATTGTCTGTGTGTGTTAATTTTCCATGCACGTAAAGACTTTATGAACTGCACAGTAGTTGTATAGTAGCCAACTTTCACAGCAGTAGGATACGTCACCAGATGGCGTCAGTTTGTAATGTGGCCAGACAGAAAACTTTTTCCATGTAATGATATGCCATCGGTCAGTCAGACAGCAGCTACCGTGGCAGTATGATACACAGCTGGACAGTGTCAGGTTGGAACACTGCTGGTAACAACGTAACATAAGGAGAAGGAAAATCCCCATAGGGCAGGTAGTAGAGGTGGTGTACTGGTCAAACAAACCTGGGTTTTCACCTGGGAGGCCAGTGTTTGCTTCCTGTATCGATGTAGAGCCAAACCATGATGATTTCTAAACCTAACCATGTGCTTTTGTTGACATCCTGATGTTGGTAGCAGCATCCCAAAACATCTACAGCAGACACAGAATCTAGCGTGTAATTTATAGACATGAAAGGCTGCTGACAAAGCGGTAACATGTGACGATTTGGGATGAGAACGCGTTGGTTTACTTTGCACATTTTCAGCCAACGTGGAAAAACGTACCTCCATCTTGGCAGTGCACAGATCTCCTTGTTCATCTCTCAACTTAAAAATTCAGGCTCAGGCTGTTGTTTGGAAGTACAGATTGTAATTCTTCGTTTTCGTATTAAACATAAACCAAGATTCTGGGTTGCTGATTTCACTCCACAAATGTTATCATAAGCATATTTTAGCTGACTGATTAAGCGTGATACAAGATCATTTGCTAAACAGCCGGCCACCATGTGTGTTCATTAGTCCTGTGTGATGCAGTGCATTCTGGTTGTTATTGTTGTCGGTTTTCTTTTTTTAATCTCTTGAACAAAAGTAAATGCCACAGCCTTTTATCTCTTTTCTCTGGTCATATAGCACCATGTCTCAGTTTCGTGGGAAATCCACCTTTCCAACAGTGAAATGCTTTTTTAATGGTGGAAATGCTGCCTTGTGGGAGTATAAAGATTTTTAACCAAGCAGAATTT